CTCATTAAATCCTCTCGACAATCTATTGAGATAGGTCCTATTATTATACATCCATTTCCTAAGTGAGAAAACAGAGGCATGGGGCCAATAAGCAATCTTCCTAAGATCACCAATTAATAAAAACCAAGAGTCAAACCACATGTCTGATTCCAGACACCATGCTCTTAACCACTGCTCTGCTGGCTTCCATCCTGACCAGAATGCTGTTTATAATTTTAATTCTTTTTCTTTTTCTACTTAACTGTGAAATTTTGCAAGATTTTAATAGATGAAAAGAAAGTAGAGCCATATTCTAGGTAGAAAATAGCATATCAGCCTCATGTTTTATTTAGTCTAGGGCTATACCTAAAATCAGAAACACAGTTTTCAATGCCTCTCTTTTACCCAGAGCCCATCCCACTTTCCCTGGGCTCCAAGCATGCTTGCCCTTAGATACCCAGGACCAGCCTTGCAGGCTTTCCTTTGGCTCTCCACCATCCTTGCTCTGCCTTAGTATGCAATGCCCAGGAAAGGATCTTATGAAGGTGTTCATACAAAGTACCTCAGGAGACTTTTGTTTTCCATTTTCTTTCATAGACAAAGGCCTTACTCTTAAAGGATTAAATTTGTGAATACAAGTGAACAGCACATGCAATATCATCCAAAAAGAGCCCAACTCAATTTTAGGCTGTATTATAGAAAATATAAGTTCTAGAAGAGTGAAGGTTATCAGTCCCTCTCTATTCTGTACTGATAATTCATTTAACAAATATTAATTGAACAGCTCCTAAGGACCAGGCAACACTGCAAACACACTAACGACACATGATCACCCTTTCTATTTTTCAATCTGCAACAGATCACTCTGGAAACAGTATACTCAGTTTATGCAAATAATCTTCCAGAAAATTTTCTGAAAGAGAAAAAATGTGTTTTAGAAAGGGTTACTGAAGCTACTGCTTAGCCACCTAATATACTTATTGACTTTTCTTCCTCATTTTACTATGCAATTTTAAAACACAGGATCTTTAATGAGGAGACGGACTGAGAGAATAAAAGGAGTCCATGAAAGTGAAATGATTAGAAAGCAATACGTGGAGGAAAAACTCAATATTCATTGATTGGAAAATCGTCATTTCTTTCCTTTTAATAGTATTCAAAGTCACGACCCAGAAAAATCTGTAATTGCTAATTCAGAGAGAATCACGATGTGGGCTCTTAGGACTGAACCCTTCCTAACCAACTTCAGAGCTTACAAATATTTGCTATGATCAATAAGTAGAGCTAAGCCTGAAGAAGATTAGGTAGAACTGAGACTGGAGGTAGAGAGACTAGTTGGGAGGCAATACAAAGTCTAAGAAAGATAAAATCTAAACTTGAGTTGTGGTAGCAGGAAATGAAAAGGGAAGGCATTTATGAGATACTACTGAGGAAGAAAAGACCAACTTTGATAACATTATATAGATGGAAAATGAATCAAGTATCTAGGTTCCAAACTTTAGAGAAAGAGAAGTTAGTGGTGCCATTAACGGATGCAGAAGCATGGAAGAAGTGTGGATTTAGGGCAACAGATGGATTTAGTTTGATATATATGACTTTGAAGTGTCAGCAAGACACTCAAAATGAAATAAATATTCAGCAGATAGCAAAATTAGGGTCTGAGAACTAAAATAAAGAGAAAAATTGCACATGTGAAAGCATCCAGTAGAAAGCCTGGATGGACCCCATTCACCCTCTGCTTCAGCCAGACTAAACCATCTGTAGTTCTCCAAGAGGCAGCTCTCTCCCATCTCCACCTCTAAACAAACTTTCCTATAAAGCCAGACACCCTACTTCACACCTGGTTAACTCCTTGTCGTCTTTCAGAATGCTCAGGTATCATTTTCCCAAACCTCACTCATTTCCACCAAGAGGGACAGTACCTAGGTCTTACCTCTCTATACAGGAGTAGCTAATTTTTAGCACCATGCTAAAAATAGCAGGCACTTGAAAGACTGAAAGAACAGACTTGGCATGTGCTCAACACAAGCTTTGGAAGGAACTATATCCTCTTAGAGGTGACTGCTAAAGAAATGAACTTGGACGAGATTTCCAAAGGAGAGAAAAGAAAACTAAGAGGTCCTAAATATAGGTAATCATCGTGGAACATCGTCATCTAGTAAGAAGTTCTCGAAAATTCTTCTCAACTTCTTTTAGCCCTAAATACCTCAGTTGTAACACAGGGATCATTATTCCTACCTCATAGGTTGTTGTGAAGATTGCGAGAGCATATATAAAGCACCTAATATAAAGTCCAGCATTCAATTAATGTTCCCATCTGTTCTCCAACCCAATGTCAAAAACATGTTAGAACTGCCGTTTCTTTGCAACTTTAGTAACTGCTATACTCTGAAAAGCAATCCAGCTTAGAAAAATAATGACCATTTGAGAAAGGGAGGCTAGACTTGTCATTCTCCCTAGAGCAGAGTTTTTTCAATCTCAACATTACTGTTAATCTTGACTGGATAATTCTTTTGTTGCAGGGGGCCTCCTGAGCATTACAGGGCGTTTTAATAGTATCCACTCACTAGATGACTGTAGCAGTTCCCACTAAAAACGATTCCAGAAACTAACAAAATTGCCTCTGGATGAGAACTGCTACTCCAGAGCTAACTGAAATTCTCACAAAAGCCTAAATCTTTTCTCTGACATCTACAAATATCTCATAAATTTATTTGTTCCCCACTGACTCACACATTAATTTATGCTTAGACTTTATAAGTCATTCTTCTTAAAAGTTAACCAAAGCTAGTAGCTAGCCTCTGAACTGTTAAGCAAGTCATTATAGATAACGCATGCAGTCTAACCACTCAGTGCATTATCACACTGTGACCTTTAAAGCCAAACTAATATAATGAAGGTAGGAACAGCCAATCCCAAAACATCTTCACACAAAATTAAGAGATTTGATTTGTCCCAGTACTCAAGTGTTTAATCTTTTAATTTCAAGTCTACAGGTGGCACTAAGTAATGTATAAAATGAGTTTTAGTTGCCTAAAGTCTTTTACAAGTTTTAAATGGCCACTAATGACATATAAAATACATTATGTACCTAAAAATTATTTTGTATCATATGCCCACATATTTGCAACAACATTGTTATAATCAACGACCACACACACGGAAAAAAAAAAAAACAGAAGCAAAACTAGTAGAGAAAAACTGAATTAACAAGTCACTAGGATTTTTGGATAAATACCTTTAAGTTAATAAGTGTAGCATGGTAATTAAGCATACAGAGATAGAATCAGACTACCTGGATTAAAATCCCAACCCTATCACTTACTAGACAGGTAACCTTGATAAATTACTTAATGTCTCTATGCCTGTTTCCTCTTTGGTAGTGTTGCTGTGAGACTGAATGAGTTAAA